TACAAAAAAAAAAGGTTAAGTTTGATATACCGGTAATATAACCCATGTTTAACAAATAATACTGAAGGATAAAAATACCATTATTTATTACTAGTACAGATGTATTTTAGAAAAATACGAATTTACTTTAATAATTTTGAAGACAAAAAATAAATTAAACAATGGATTTTGTTCAAAATTCTTTCGAAGGATGCTTTGTTTTTTATTCAAATTATTTAAACTAGTCTTAGTTAAAAAGAAAATAATGTTGAACTTGAACTACATTAAAAATGTATGTTATTACTTAGCATATTAATCGAATTTTTGTAAAACTTTTGCTATATCTTTGAACTTGTTCAATTCTAGACATTACTAGTATATCTTCATAATGACAAATTAGTTTCAGGTATGCTCACAAACAGACTCTTGTCGTATTTTTTTGATAGATTTTCCAAAAACTATTGATTTTTTATCGAATATACATTGCAAAATAGTTTAGAAAATATTTTTTTTATATAAATTTTTTTATTTCGATGAAATATAGGACAAATCGAGACAATTGTTGCATCACATGTTCATAGTTTACTTTAATACATGACTAAGAAATCTTAAGGTTATATCGTTACTGTAAAAATGACAGAAAAGAAAATATATACAAGAAGAGAGAGAAAGAGACCAAAAAGGAAAGAGTAAGGACTAATACAAAGGGACACAGTATGACAGTAGATGAGGGGTAAGACACTCATTCAGTTAAGATACCCACATGTGAAAGCAAGAATCATAGGAGTAAGCGTGAAATGGTAGAAGATCAGATAGATCATGTATTCTAATAAGACAAAATATAAGTAAGAAGGTCATAGGCTATTGATATATCCTCTTTTAGATAATTCTCGATCAAATATGTCATCTTTAATTTGTATTTTTGTATTACAAACATGACCTATAATCATATATGAATAAAAAACTACAAGAAAAAAAATAAGAGAACAGAAAAAGAATAAACTTCAAAAATCAAATTTATAGTGTTTAAAAGTGACAAATACTTATGCAAACAAGTTATTGTAACTAAAAGGTGGAGATTTTTAAAATGGACATCAAATCAAATCTATGCGAACGAGATATTTTATCTATGTACAATGAATAAGTGAAAAATTTCGAATCTATAGTAAAGACAAAATCAGATACGTAAATGTACAAGGTATATTGTCACCTCTTTCTTTTTTCTACCTCTTTTTCTGTCTTTCTCCATTATTTTTGTGACGCTTTAACATCAATGTTTTTCTTCCTCTGTATATGTATCTAAATATGTATTACGACTAAGTATCAGGCTTTTTTATAAATAAAAAAATTAATCAGATAATCGATATAAATTGATTTTTAGTCTTATTTTATTGTCCGATATGTAGAAGAACAATATAATTAATCAGACGCTTGTTTTGAGTAAGATTTAATTTGATAAATTAAAAGAAAACTATTTATAAGCATATTTACTAAGAACTATCTTGACTGGATTACTCTCATCTTATTCACTAATAAATTTAAAAATTTTGTTATTTTATCAAAATACTTATACAATTTGATTTCAGATTTAACTCTTGAAAAGATGGGTTCTAGATCATGTAAAAAACGGTTTGCTGTTGAATCATTGAGTAAACAAAGTATTGCTGAATTGTGTGAAGATACGGGTTTTACAGAAGAAGAACTTCGTATATGGCATGCGTAAGTATATTTTTTATATATATATTTGATAAATATATTGTATCATTTGTATTTTCGTTTTTTGTTTTTTTTTAGTAATTTTCTAAAAGATTGTCCAGATGGTCAGTTGTCACTTAAACAATTTGAACATGAATATAAAAAAATTATGGGTACTCCAACATCAAAAACTCAAGAATATGTTCGTCACATGTTTAATATTTATGATCAAGATAAAAATCACTATATTGATTTTCGGTAAAAAATAAATTATTTTTAATAATAATAAATCTAATTTATTGATCTTATTTTTTTTTATTTTTATAGAGAATTTATTATGGCCTTATCGGCGGCATCCGTTGCCAATCGTTTAAGATTAGTTGAAACATTATTTTCTGTATTTGATCTTGATGAAGACGGTAAAATTATAAAAATAATTCAAATATTTTATTATAAGATAAAAAAAGAAATTCTTTTTTTTTTATTTAGGAAAAATAACAAAAAAGGAAATTGAAAAAGTATTAAATACACTTATAGATGTAACAGCTACAACACATAAACATCACTTTGATAGTGAAGATACACGAATACAAAAAGCAAATCTTAAACATCGAATTGAAGAAGCATTCAATGAATTAAATGCAAATGATGATGATCATATTACAAAAGATGAATTTATGTAAGTATAAATAGACAATATTCATTCACAAATATCTAGGAAACAAGTACTCTTTTTTTATTTACTTTACTTTTCTAATTTAGAGATTGGTATATGAGATGTGGTTTATTGGACGAAGCAAACAGCAACGTGATAAACGTTGTTGATTCTGAAGTATTTCGTATGGGTAAAAGATCACGTAAAACAAAGAAAAAACATCATCCTGAATTGTCATCTCATAGTAACGTTAATAGTACTACATTGAATGAAAATTCGGTAATGCCATCAAAAAAGACTCGTCATCACTTCCATATGATTGAACATCATGAGGAAAAAGTGAATAATGATGAACAAGAAACAAATGATCAAAGTATCAATCAGATAAATGAAAATAATTTATCACAGAATGTAAATGATGATGATGATGACGCATCCTCATCCACGAGTGGTAATGATCGATGGCAAAATTTACTTCATGCCGTATTAGATCAATTACGTTCTCAACGACTTGAACGAGAACAACAAGATCAACAACGAGAAAACAATAGCAGTTTTAGAAATTGGAAACGAATTGGTGAAGAAAGAATGAAAAATGAATATTTGAGACAAAAATCAAGTCAAAAAGAAGAAGAATCTCAACTTCATTCACATAAACATAAATCAAAACGAAAATTGACAGAAGATACACAAGAGTCAACAAATGGAATTAAATGGCCAGTAATAGATAATAAACAAAAACCATTATCATCCGATATCATCACTATACGACTGTGATCTAATGATAACTATTTTTTTCAATTCTAAATTGTCTTCCATTATTTGTATATTTGATACTATAGCACAACTGTGTTAAACAAAACGCGTTTAAGATGACGTTTATTTATTTTCGAAAAAAAACAAAAAAACATCTGTATAAAGAATAATTTTGTGCTAAATGTGTGTGAATAATGTAGTTTTTCCTGTTAATAATGTTTATCTCACTGTTATCATGCAAAGCATGTTATATATTTATTCATTCTTCTTATAAAAAAATTACTGACGCATTAAAAAATCTACACTAAAACATTCTATTTTTAATAAAAAGGACGTATCATATTTATCTACACTAAACTATTTCCTCTACGCCTTGATTTTCAACTTTTTAAATGGAAAAAAAATGAACACTTCCGAACTGTCAAAAACTAATATTTTTTCTGTGATTGAAAAAAGATTATAGTTATTAAAAAAAAAAAAGAAATATTATAATGTTGACAAATACTATACAAAATAATTAATTCAATTAGATAAATATGGAAAGTTTTTACACAATCCGATCTTTTTAGAATATACATCTTTTCATTCACCATTCTAAAGTGAATTTTAATTTTATGGAACGTGAATTTAAGGAAATAATATACTATTACATGATAAATATTGACTGAAATGATAAGCTTAGAAAATATTGATCAAATATCGGTGTACGAACGGCTGAATACTAATAAAGTAATCAAATCTCAGTTGTTCATGACATTATTGACAGAGAAGTTAAATAAAATCAGAGAAAGTGTGTGTGTGTGTGTGTGTGTGTATAGCTGCTTGAAACTATTGCTTATTATTCAGATTCTAAATATTTTTCTTTATTTATAGAATACACGTACAAGGGCACTATTATATTAAAGAAGGAATACAACTTGTCATTGCTGTAGTGTGTGATAAAAATCTTACACGTTATTTTTCTAGAAATTTTTTTATTAACACACATGAGGTGTGCAAGGTTATACAATTTACAAGAAAGGCACTAAATTAATTTTTTCCGTATTTCTGCAGTTTTGAGCTGACAACGGACAATTTGGGGCTTTTCTTATAAATTCTATAATTTTGCACTTGGGAACGTTCCCTCGTTAGTAGTAACAGGGCCTTCTCCAAATTTACGGCCATTAAATAAGTATCCATCTGAATATTATTCTATATTAGTAGAATCACTTCGACCAACTCTCTCTATTTGTCACTATATCAGATTTTAATTCTGAACTGTTAACATATTTTACAAATATCCACGCATATGTCTGACTGTATAAATCGCACAACATTGTACAGTTTATCCAATCTTTCAACAGTTAATCAAAAGCAATAATTTATAATTGTAACTCTTTGAGCAATACAGTATTTTTAGCCACGCTTAGACTACCTAACATTTGATTAATTGTCGTTTATTTGAGATTTGACCCCATCTTAGGATAATCGATAAAAGAAAACGAAAATAGCAAATAAGCATGAGACAAAAAAATTCAACAAACAAAAGAGAGACAGCGAGAGAGAGAGAGAGAGAGAGAGAGAGAGAGAGAGAGAGAGAGAGAGAGAAAATGTCATATTAACGACGATAAAACTTCATCACAAATTATTTTTGGATTTTAGCTAGCTCAGTTTGCGTTGCATCAACAATAATATACATAAAAAATTGCATTTTTCTTATGAATAATATACAACACAAATAATTTAGAAAAAAAAACATAACTTGTTCGAAACTGCAATTCATTGACATAAAGATTTTTGATCGAATAAAAAAACTTTTTTATATTTAGCACTGAAAGATAAAAACAAATATTTAATATTTATTTATGTATTAAGGACCTCACCCATTTTACTGTTCGTCTACTCAAAACAACTGAAATGGAACAACTATTTATTGTGAATGTTCGAGGAATTGAAAAAGTTAGAAGAGAAGAGAGAAGGAGGGAGAAAGAGAGAGAGAGAGAGAGAAAATACTCAGTACAGTATGATGCTTGGTAATTAAAAAATTATTGCTGTGAATTTTTCTCATGAGTTGACGATACTGACGAAGCCGATGACGAAGATGATGCTTCATTTTCATTATGATTTGGCAATGTTTCCGATTGTTCTTCATGCATATCTGCCTGTTGTTGCATACGTTGTTTTTGATCATTGATGGAGGTCTTTTGTATTTGCATACGATAGCGATGAACGGATTCGGTACTTTCAACTGCTCCTGACTGTAAATCAAATGAACGACCTTTAACTGATGTTGTCGGTGTCGGTGATGGAGACCACCAACTTAAAAGATTGGAAACAATTGGTAATTGACGTAAGATGCCTTCTTGGTATAATAATTGTTGATTTTCATCTTGTAAGTCCTTTTCAGCTTGTCGAATACCTTCTCGTACTTTTTCGGCCATTACCTAAACAATTTAAAAAAAAAATACGTAAAATGCATAGGAAAAACAATGTGTACTTCATTCGAGTGTTATGTTAAGAATGAATTTTTATCTTATGAGGGAACCGCCCGAGGTGATACGCTTCTTTCTAATGAGTTATACCTCGATCGATAGAGTATATCGAGCTAGTAAGACCCTAGAAGGATTCGGATTCATGGCTTTTGAAGATCCGGTTTTCTGGAAAACTAGTTTTTCAGAAACTCTAAAAAATAACCAAAATCTTTCTTAGTGAGGCATGAGTGTAGCGCGCACATTTCTGATTAAAATGAGACATCTCCCAGCTCTACACGACATTTCTTTGCAAAGTTATAGAATTTACACGAAAAGCCCTAAATGTTCATTGTCAACTCAAAGCTATAGAAATAAGAAGAAATAAATTTAGGGCTTTTCTTGTAAATTCTATAACTTTTCAAAGAAAATTCGTGTAGAGCTGGGAGATGTCTCGTTTTAATCAGAAATGTGCGCGTTACAATTATGCCTCACTAAGAAAGATTTTGGTTATATTTTAGAGTTTCTGAAAAACTAGTTTTCCAGAAAACCGAGTCTTTAAAAGCCATGAACCGGAATCCTTTTAGGGCTTTTAATAGCTCGATATACTCTATCGATTGAGGTATAACTCATTAGAAACGGAATGTATCACCTCGGGCGGTTCTCTTGTTACTAAATTTTACTTACTTCAACATATTTTAACGATTGTTCTGTTTCACGACCCGCATCTTGTATTTTTCTTAATAACACATCAAGATCATCATTTTTTCTCACCATACCTAAACGTAAATATAATAATTCTTGATCATTAACTCCTAAAGTAAATGCTGAATCATTTGTTTGCAATTTTCTAGCTAATTCGGCATTAACCGTATTCATATCTTGAACAGAATATAAATTTGATGTATCATTTTCCTGTTGATTACTATTATCACCATTTGCCAATTGTTCATGTTCTTGTTTATCATTTATCTCTTCTTGTTCTTGTTTACTAACATCAGAAACATATCGAACACCACCAATTCCTGCCCAGTTAACTAGTGGAACTGATACAAGATTTGGATAACTTGTTTTAATCGCTGTATTTAATCGACTTTTAGCTGCCATTGTGGCTAATAATATTTCACAAAATTTTTTAATATCGTCTATAAATATTTTCATATCGTTTTCTTCGATAACGTCAAGTAAATGTTCTAATGGAGCAAAGCGAAATGCATGCGAAGGATATCGATTTGTTTCAATTTTATTATCAACTGAGCGATGCGGTTGAAAATGTATACTTTTTAATAATTCTAAATTAATTTTTGGATACTGTTGACTAAGTTTATCATAAAGCCACATATTTAAAAGATCAACATAACTATCGATATCATTATCATTCATATCGTTGATATCTTGAATCTAAAGAAAAACAATGACATTAATAATCATAAACACAAAATAATCATCAATCTTCTAAATTTAGAGTTTTCTATTCTTGTCTGAAATTATAGTTTGATATAGATATAAATTTACAACATGAATTTATGTACATACTTTTGATATATCCGGCTCAAAACGAAATAATACAACAGAAATTGGTAACGGTATTGTGGACGAATAACCATCACAAATGCATTTGTATGTTATTGTAGGATTATAATTCATTTCATTATTATTTTTATCAGATGAGTTATCATTTAATATTTTAATTTCTTTTATTTGATATAAAGATTTTATTAATAAATCTGTTAAATAAAATGAATGTTTCATATGATGTAAAACATGTTCATTTGTACAACGTTGTGATAAAGACCAAAAACTTATAAAACTCATTGACGATGATTGTAATATCATATCATAAAATGATAAAGGTGCTGTCGAAAGTGCCGTTGCAGATACATCATAATTAATTTCTTTACTATCGTTAGATTGTACTAAACTTTGTTGATTATCATTATTTATTCCTTGACTACCATTCGTTGATGTTAACGTTGTATTTGAACTTGTATCTAATTCATTTGAATGTAATGTAGTAAGTGATCCTCGATTTAGCGATGATGGAATAAAGGATGATTTTTGAACAAATAATGTCAAATAAGGTAAATTTTGTATACCAAATAGTTTAATTAAATCCAATGTAAGACTATCACAACATATATTAGGATTATCATCGGATGATAACAAGGTTACTGAACCTAGAAGATCACCTACAAAAGAAATAGAAAATATTTAGAATAGTAGATTTGATAACATTATTTTAATAGTCAAAATTAAATATTACAATACCCGTTGCATGTAACCATATTTGATGATGATTGGCTATTGCTTTTAATTGAGCTAAATCATCAATATGTCCTAAAAATGGTGTACCAACATTTGCAATAATCATTAGCGGATATTCTTCTGTACTATCAACATCGTTAATTATTGTTTGTTTTAATTTATCAATATTTAATACATCCTCACGATATAAATCAGTTTGTATATGTGTAAAACAAACATCAGGTATGGCAACAAGAAGATCATCTTTTAATTGTGGATCAAAATCACTTGACACATAAATAATGCCTTTTTTATTAGTATTATTATTATCATTCGAGAATTTTTTATTACTTTTCAAAGCTAAACGAATAACACGTTGAAATGATTCGGAATAATATGTTGTACATAATAGTGCTTCACATTTAATATGAAATAAATTTTTACACCATTTTATTAAATCAGTTTGATATTTTGGTATTACGGCTAATTTTACATTATGTGGTAGAGTGTCGAAAAATGCAGATAACTAAATGAAAGAAACAATGGATTAATTGATTAGAGGATAATTACTCATTAGGAGCTATATCAATAAATTTATAATCGAAAGTCTTAACGTTTTTCTTATCAAAGATTATCTATGCATCAGTTTCAGAACTAGTGTCTGAATATTTAGAAAAACTGTTAATAACTTGGTTATTAAAAGTTGTTCAGAGTTATGAAACATCTCATTTTGTAAAATTTTCGCACCAAAAAAACTTATCATTCAAAAAAAAACATTCTAAAGTTAACTTTATTGAAAATACAATCCATTCAAAAGAGTGAAACTTCTGACAGTTTCTATCTGTCACAATGCTCCTGTTTTTATCACAATTAATCTTAAAAATTTTCTGAATAATAACTTTTATGGTGCGCACATTTCCTAAACGACAAGACCGCGTAACGCTGTCTGTGCGTTGCTATTTGCTCTGTTTTTTAATCGTATAAAACTCGAAGGATATACCACGAAGAGCTGAATGATGTCTCAATATGTAGATCAAAGTGTGCTCTTCAAAGTTCACTGTGGATTCAAACCGATTAGATCGATCGTTGTTCAGCTATAGTAGAAAATGTCCGAGATGTTTTCTTACACCTCGTTACACCTTCGGTTTGAATTCTTAGTAAATTTTGAAGAGCACACATTTGATCTACAAAATGAGACGTCGCTCAGCTCTCTAATGATATATCCGTCAACTTGTATAAAATGAACAAAAGGCCAAAAATGATAACGCACAGACAAAAGATTGATCGTTAGCCAATTTTCATGTTTAATTCAAAATGAGATGTTCCACAATTTAATAATCCAATAATAACCGTTTTTCTGAATGTCCAAACATCAGTTCTGGAACTGATGCATACCTACCAATGATACATCGCCAACTGATTGTAAATATTTTGTCCATACGGTTTGAAAACAATTCATTGCTTCTTCATCTTCACTCATAAAAGATAGACAATGTGTTATAAAATCATTTTTAATTTGATTATTTAATTTAGTTAAATTGCTAGAAATATTTGATGATGTTAATGGAAGATCTAATTTATTTGGTATTAGATGATTCTCTATCGGACCATTGGATAAACCATTTTTTCTACTTTCTTCAATATGTTGATTATCAGTATGATTTTGATCTTGATTTGTTGCTAATTGTTGATCATCTTTAGTCGCTAATGTTCCTAACCATTTTTTTTCCATTTCATCTAATAGACGATGTTCAACTTGAGCTTTTTTATCTAAATCATCGATCATATTATTTAATTGTTTTAAAAATGGAGCTTTTTCTTCTAATGATACGATATTTGGAAGAGTCATTTACTATTATTAATAATAAATTAAATTCAAATCGATATGGATGGCTGAAATGAATATAAATCTAAAACTAAAACAAAATCATTACATTTAAAACTATACAACAACATATTAAGTAGTACTTTATATATTGCTAAAATGTTTTTCAGTATAGAGTTTTGTTGAAATTTAAAACAATTAATTGGTCAACTAACAGTCATTAAGCGTGTGATAATCTGCAAGCATTTCTTTCACTTATAACATCAACGCCCTTAAATATACATCACCGGACGCAGTTTTTCACACTAATTACACATATTAATTTGAAAATTAAATTTTCGATTTAATCATTTTTATTTCGAATCTTCAAAATCCGCTTACAATCTCTCTTTTTAAGAAAAGACCATTTAATAAACAACATCAGTTTTTAATGTTTGTTGTAATTTTTTCAAAAATTAAAATTTTAGTACTCGATTGATGAGCGATTTTTTTGCACCGGCCAAAATAAAACTTTTTAAGTTCAATTTCAATGGAATCACGTAGAGTAGAACCTAGATTATATATTCCTTTTCATCTTAGACTCTAGCTATCACCTTTAAAATAGAAAAAATAACGAAAATCAAATGATAAGGTGGACAATGACCAATCGTGACCATAGGTCGAGGAGTCCTTTGGCTTGGGGAGGCTCGAGCCTCCCCTAAATTTGGATCAGGAGAGGCTGAAAGGTAGTCTAAGTTTTGGAAAGGCTAGCATGATTCACTCAGTCTGTAGATCGAAAAAGACGACGAATCGAAAATTTGTTGAGCCTCTTCTAGAATAAATCATTCCGCCGCCTCTGACTGTGACAATGACCATCTTTAAAATTTTCTCTGTGAAAAATTGACTAGTGATTCTGATAGTCCTGACTTTAAGCTTTAATTTGATTAATGAACGGTATTCTTTTACAGTTAAAAATAACTGTAAGAGAAAATGTTTTTAGAGCTTCTGCGGCAGATCACCGACTCACATTTTTCTTCTGATCTATGACAGTTAGAGAGGTGTCGAGATTTACTGTTGTTCGAACTTTACTATTGTCGTAATCTGGTGAAAACTGAGGTTTCCAGGTTATGTTCATCTATTACAAAAAAATTCAGAATTCACTCAGAAAACAACAAAACGACCTTAAAACGTCAGAATGTAGAGTATTTATGCTATTCTGTAATGTAATTATAAGAGATCTCGAAAAACAAGTTTACAAAAGTTGATGATTTTACAAAAGGATTTCTTAAACACTTTTAAGCAAAAATATGGTTTTCGACTTTTTCGATAATATAAACACGTTTACCAGACAAATTTAGCCATATCCTGACATTTTTAGCTCGTTTTGTTGTTTTTTGAGTGAACTGTGAATTTTCTAATATTAGATGAAAACAACTTGAAAAAACCCCTGTTTTGGTAAAACTCAGGTTTCATCAGATTTTTGAACTCTTTTCTAAAAACAAACATTGTCACAAGATTCAGCGTGGTCGATTACGTATGTTCCATGCAATCTCAAGATTACCCCAAGCCATCGGATGCTGGTCCTGTTTTCTAAAGATCTGTTGGAAAACATACTTTGAAAGAAAACTTTCAAAATGACTTTTGTGATGAAAAGATGTGGTTAGGTATTGACTTCCAATTAGTGAAGACTGCAAGTCTCTATCACTTTTCTGTTAAACGTTATTCAAAAAACATCCTAGTCCATTCTTTCATTTTTCCGTCAATAGTCACAATTGCGATCAACTTTTTAGCTTTTTAACCTTTTACATCCAGCCGGCGGCTGATCTTGCAAAGAGAACTTGAAACAGTCGTAACTTGGTTTACAGTCGAAGAAGCAAAAATTTACTTAATAGTAATGACTAGCTTATGATGTCAGCTTACGTTCGAAAAAAATCTGTTTTTTAACTCAACGAATCGTCGTCTTGTTATAGCAATTCTACGCTATTCCACTAATGTTCACACCTGTAGACATAGGGTTAACTGACGTGGAAGATTAAAATAAGAACACTTCATGACACTTGACCAAGTCAATCTATAAGTTAATTCTTGGAGTAAAGAAATGTAATGGACCACATGAAAAAAGTTCGTTTTAATCTATAGTGATAATATCATGTCTGTGTAAGCACGATTATTGTACCCTTCTCACATAACACAGAAGTCGGCCGAAATTAGCGTAGAGGTAATTTAATATTACCTTTTTGAATAGTAGCTTTCATTTTTTTTTCTCTGTTTCTTCTACTTTACTTCAACAGAAATAAAATGTGTTCAACTTTTCGCTCCATTTGAAACACGTTTTTTCTTTCTTTCTCACCTTGTTTTTTTTTTTTCTTCTTTCGTTTCAAAAATTGCTACGTGTATGTAATTATTCTAAAACTGACTACGTACTGTCTGTGTATACGAAGGAACACTGTACAAGCTCAAGCTCAGTTGAATGAAAAATAACTGTTGTTGTTTTTTTTTCTTCTATTATCTAACAAGGTGACCATTTTCATCGATTTTTCTTTTCTTTTTCTTATACTACCTTTTTTTGTGACATCGAAGTGGAGATTTTTCTTTTCTACATATTGATTCAATTACAGGAGAAAACTTCCTTATTATACAAAGGAAAAATGAAGCTAACGAGATTTTATAAGAATTTTTTTTTCTTGATATTGAATTTTGTCACCAATATTTAAGTGATTTTTTTTTTAGAAGGTCAGAATTCATTTGGAGAAAAAAACAGCTGTACAGACTATTCAAAGAGACAATGCCATCAATTTCTAGACTATCATAAGTTTTAACTAACAACCATTTAGTCTTTGGTCGTATTTTAATGTTTTCCTAACTTTCGTGAAGAAACTAACAACTATTTCATTGATTCTCTCTTGTTGACATAATAATTAAGCGGCTCTTTGGACAAGAGAATAAAAAAACCATTAACATTAGAAACCTAAATGGTAATGTTGTACAGTAGTTCTAAAATCTCAATAGTCATCAAGGAGAAGACAAAGATATCGATGGTAGACCGGAGTATAACAGATCTAATGAAATGGTAACTTCTAAAACAGAACACTTTTTTGAACAGCCAGTGGGTTTGTTCAATCAATTTTATGTTATCGTTTTGAAAAATATTAAAAAGTGATAATCGTATTGGCAGGAATGACTACTTTAAAAACTTTCTTTTTCACCACTTTTCCGAATAGAATAATAAAAACTTTCAGGAAATACATATAAACAAGGACTTCAAGAAGTGACTATAAAATTGACTTGTTTTCAAATTAAAACAACACGTGATATAAAATCTTCAATAAAATAACCATTGAACGTAATAAAACACGTTAAAAACATCTTAAAGCATATTTTACTATTTAACACTAAGCTTTAGTTAAAAGATTTACGTTGAAATGTAGTTCAAATGGTTCATCAACATAGAAATCTGTTATTGACGTTTTTTTTATTTTCCTTAAATCTCTAAAACTACAAACAAGTCTAAAATAAATATTAAAAAACAGCTGTCTTCATATACTATAGGACACATTTAGTGACAACAACGTTCAAATTTAATGATTTCGATCATTAATTCATTGTTAGTGCTAAAAATAATTTCTAAATAATATCCAAAAAGAAAAGTGACACTAAAACTTTTTTATAATTCATCACTCTTATATTTATCGATTAATATGCACATACTCGGAAGATTTTATTGTTTAGTTCTAGCAGAAAAGTATGTTGAATAAATATTCAAACAGTAAGATAAAGTTTACCAGATGAGTAATTCTCTCCCCTTTCTCAAATAAACGGACACGTCGATACTATGTACTTTAAGTTGCTGATAAAAAGACAAAAATGTACTAGAGGTCAAGTAAAAAGGACATCATACAAGAAGAAGAAATCTTGCAGATAGAAAGATCCGTATAACAGTCTTACACATTAAGCTCTTTTTTCTGGCGATAGTGGACATCTTGTTTAACTGTTAAGAAATTACGATAAATCTTGTCAACAATACAATGGCATTTTAAGGAGAGATGGTTTGAGCAAATTTTTTTGTAAGACGAAAATGATGTTCGTATAAAGATAAAGATAAAACATGGATGTAAAAACTATGCTCAATATACACTTTTGTTTTTCTCTATTCATATAAATCAATGATAATGATCAATGACATGTATGACTCACCACATGTCAAAGCTCCATATGAACCCAAACAGACTAGTCTAAAACATTGGTTGCACTGCACTGAACTCAGAACTCAGTTCACTGCAACAATGTTCTAAAACCGATAACCTTAACTTAATTAAATGTGGTAGAATTAAAACTGTTAATTACTCGTGATTAACTAATTAATCAAAAGCAAACAAATCAACTGAGAGTGATTGGAAAAGTAAAAAACTTTTTCCTTTCTCAAATTCGATTATTTCATTTGTAAATTACAATGAAAAAGTAATTACGAATTAGTTTTGAAACAGCAATAGGAAAAGGAAAGAGATGAAACAAAAGTTTTGACAAAAAACACACAAAACAATATTCTTTTATTTATTCATTCACTGTTATATGTTAAAATAAAAATAGAACAAGAACAAAACTGACACTATTTTTGATTATTCATTTAAATTACAAAATATACTAGTCTACTTCTTTCCTAACACAGCTAAATAGAGCTAATCGTGTACAATATTTTCAATTGTATGTAAACCATTTGCATATAATTTGAGTTCAATGTGATGATATTGTTTGAGAGTTTGCCGATGTCCTATACTAATTATTGTAAGATGTTTTTCTATTAGATAATTATAAATTTTCATTTCCATATTTAAATCGAGACTCGATGCTATTTCATCTAGAAATAATAGTTTAATTGGATTAATCTGAAATTTATCTTGAAGAAGAAAACGTATAAATGATAGACGTTGTAATTCACCGGGTGATAAAAGATCGTTCCATGAATATTTAGGACATAGAAACAAATTAGAATTGACATATTGTAAAAGATGCGAAAGATTCCATTCTGCTAATAAATGTTCAATTTCTGATTGTTGTTCAGTAGTTGGCAAATTTATTGAATGATTTGGATAAAACAATTCATTGTATAATGGTTGATTTGTAAAGTACGGACGTTGTGGTAATAAAAATGATTGTGTTTGATCAAAAGAAAATTTTCCGTTTATAGTAATTGGCCATATGGAATGTAATACACGAAATAAGGATGTTTTTCCTATTCCGCTATCACCTAAAATGAGAGAATGAGGATGAAACTACTTAGAATATACGTATTGCATTAAATTTTACCGGTTATAAGTAAACGTTGATGATCGTGTAGTATTAAATTTAAATTTTTCATTAAAACATGTTGTATATTGGCTGGTGATGAATAGGATAAATCTTTTATTTGTAAAACAACATGTTGAGAATCATTTTCTCCTAAAATTCAAAGACGATACGGTTAAACATGATGAAATGATAATAGGATAGATGTTGAAAATATTTATCAGTGATAACGAGTGAACAGTAAAATAGATATAATAGATCTTGAAATTGAAATAGTATCCGTTAAACTTTATTAAACATACCTGTTACTGTTATGATTGGTCTGTTATTACTGTCATTCCACTTTGTATCTATTTTTTTCATCCATTCAATAAATGTTTGCACACGATGGGTATTTGCTGCTATTATTGTCATTTTATCTGTTATATCATTTAACATACTAAAACGATATATCAAATACATTGTTATAAATGATATTTGACTAATTGTTTTAATTATATCAGATTGTGGTAAATGATCGTAGAGATGAAATACGAACAGAGCTACGGATATCAATAGATAACTTAATATACTACCGATATAATCGAATAAATTTGTTGTTAAAGAGAGAAAAAATTCTTGAACTGTACGACGATATAATATTACACGTATTTTTGATATAAAATATAAATTAAAACGTTTTAATTCAAATAAACCACCATTATAAAATGCAATGGATTCATTATGAGTTCGAATTTGTGTATGTAAATAACGATAACTACCTTCATAACTATTTTGTTTATAAATTGTACGTGATACACATGAAATAAAATATTTATTAATTATTGTTGAAAGAATAAAATACAAAAAAATGGTTAATGGTCCCCAATATCCTAGAAAAAAAAGAGAAGAAAATAAGTTTCAATAAGTTTTTCCCGCGACGATCATCGGAACAAACAGGTAGATTCTACAACTCTAATTCCAAGTTCAACGATTTACCTGTTATTTGCCATGTCCGATAAACATAATAAGCAATGGTAAATGGTGATACAAGCAATAATGGAATAATATACGCTAACGTTTTACATAATTGATCTGTATCTTGTGTAATGCGTTGATCAGGATTATCAATATTAATACAGGAGTCGTTGGAGACTTGTGACGGTGTCAAAGATGAATTCAAAGACACGAATACTGATGAATTTGAACGTGAAATATCATCGTCATCATGTGATCTAAAAAAAAAAGAGAAGCTAATGTAGAAATGGAATTATTTACAAAACAAGCCTAATAACCTTTTTAATTTTTTCCTTCTCCACTAAATTCTCTTGGGTTTCTTTCTTTTGTTGACAGTAATCTTTTCAGAAACTGCTTCCTAGAGTTAGAGAGTTAAACTGCGCACAAAAATATGGACTCTATTGAAAAACAAATGTAACTAGACTCAACTAACTGATTTGTCAATTTGAATCATTATTTACGTTTGTAATGTATAATTCTTGTATGTTCGACTATTTTCTTGTTGTTGTTTTTGTTGAGTTTTTTGTTCATATGTTGTATTTGATAAATGATAATAACGTTGTTTAGTAAAATACAATGTTTGAAGATAGCAAACAAGATTTGTTCGCCATTTTACATATAGAACAGATGCTAAAAATTGTGATAATGATTTTAAAAAAGCATTAATACAGACATAAATAAATGCTTGAAGGACAAGCCATCGAAACATTGGTAAATCACGATTGTTAGGTGATGCACTTAATTGTACATAAAATTTTGATGGTAATAAACCAACGAGATAAATAATATATTGTAACAATCCTTCATTGGCGAGTATAAGGAATATAAGCAATAATGGATGTTGATAGCATGAACAACATGATGTAGAAGAACTTTCATCAATATTTTTCAACGATAAACGTGATATGGGTATAAATACATGGAAAAGGTTATAAAAACGTTTCAAAAATAAAAAATTTAATCCGTGAGACATGAAATATCTATGGAAAAACAAAAAGAATAAAATTCAAGTAGAAAAAATGTCTTCGTATTATGTAGTATAGACTGAAGAAAAAACAAAATGATCTTAGTCTGTTTCTCTCCGGTAGAACAAATGAAATTCAACTATCTTAAGTAAAGCGCACTATTTTATCAGGAATAATTTTTACTCTCTGCTATTAATAAAAAATTTACAACATGCAATCAGATTTTTGCCATAAAGAAATGTTTTTTATACGTGCATCTTATCTAACAGAAAAGTATGTTGAATAAATATTCAAACAGTAAAATAAAGTTTACCAAGTGAGTAATTCTCTTCCCTTTCTCAAATAACCGGATACGTCGATATTGAGACTCCAGTGAAGCCCAATACCACGGCCGAACCGCTGAAAATCAAAGTCTCGCTTGCCTCCCACTTTAAACAAAACACTTTAGACTACCTATCCATGAAAAAAACAAAAATATTTTTATTAGAAACTTTTTAGTAATAACATGGTTTTCTAAAGATCTGTTGGAAAACATACTTTGAAAGAAAACTTTCAAAATGACTTTTGTGATGAAAAGATGTGGTTAGGTATTGACTTCCAATTAGTGAAGACTGCAAGTCTCTATCACTTTTCTGTTAAACGTTATTCAAAAAACATCCTAGTCCATTCTTTCATTTTTCCGTCAATAGTCACAATTGCGATCAACTTTTTAGCTTTTTAACCTTTTACATCCAGCCGGCGGCTGATCTTGCAAAGAGAACTTGAAACAGTCGTAACTTGGTTTACAGTCGAAGAAGCAAAATTTTACTTAATAGTAATGACTAGCTTATGATGATGCGTTATCTTTTTACTGAAACGATCTTTCACGTCTCCTCTTCTATTAATAAAAAATTGACAACATGCAATCAGATTTTTGTCATACAGAAATGTGTTTTTATACGTGTGTCTTATCAAAAATGAATCTTACTCCTGGATATTTTCAGCGCAAAGGAAGCAGAAAATTGAAATGTTAAATACATTCGATTAACACATTGTT